ACATTCCTACTGCTACCCACAAGTATCATCCTCCTTACAATGCCATTTAAAAGTACGTTAGCAGATATACTTAGCCTTTCTAAGAATTCAGGGCTCAAGGCAATCCAATCACAAAGAAGAAGGAAAGAAGAGGAAGAGGAAGGCTAATTTTCTTTCAAGGCTGTATGTACTTTTGTATAATATGTAGTACAGTGTCTTGCCCAAAGTAGGTGATCCATAGGAAATGAACTTAATAATATGGGGAACTATGTTTTTATTGTTCAGTTGGGTCCTACTCTTCATGGCCCATTAGGGATTTTCTTGGCAAAGATACTGGAGTAGTTTACCATTTCTTTCTCCAGTTCATTTTACAAATGAGGAAACTGAGGCAAATATGGTTAAGTGACTTGCCCAGGGTCATACAGCTAGCAAGTGCCTGACTCTGAACTTGAACCCAATAAGATGAGTCTTCCTGACTCCTGGCTTGGCATACTATATCCACTGCACTACCTAGCTGCCCTAGAGAGCTACCTACCTTCTGAAAATTAATTCTGAATCCTTTTCTCTGCATTCTCATTACATCAGTTTTTGATCCTCACACTACCTTCTCTCTACAAAACCCAGTCATCCTTGATTCCATGTGGGAGCAAGGAGGAGTAGTTCAAACTTAAGGTGTATGTGTAAGGCAAATACTACTTTTCTGAGTTGTAGATGTTTAAGGTTGAGGCATTATTGATGCTTTCTGTGGATTCCTCACCTTTAGGGAGTGGTCTGGGTTAGCAAGACCCCTTGCCTCTTCTCCTTCCCTTTTGAAAATCTCCTTACACCCCCAGCAGCCATAAAAGCCCTCTCCTCCCCTCTCATCTCGAGGAAAGCAGTACCTCAGAATGGGACTGCCATGGCAACCAGCCACCCCTCTTCTCGCCCCACACTCATTATTACCAGGGATCCTTCCTCTCCTGAGGTCAGTTTGGAGTTGATTTCCTTGAAAACAAATCTGGCAGCTATTACCCAGCTGGAGGCTAAAATAGATGCAAAGTGGAAACAATTTGAGAAAGTCGGCAGGTCGTGAGGACCTCCCAGGGGGTGTTTAAATATAAAGTGAATTCAGCCAAGACATTTTCTGTTTCACTTCGTATTAAAGGAAATACCCTTGTGGAAAAAAAAATTTTTTTAAAAAGTCGTCCTAGAAATCAGACTCCATCTCGGAAGGGAGGATCTTTGTCAAGAAGCAGGGGGAACTTAAGAGGGAAGAAGCCATAGACGAAATGTAGGGACTAATTATGCTATTATTATGCTCTACCTTTGATGCATCTTTCTACTCTGAGAACATATTCTCCCGGAAAATTAATGTCAAGCATTGACATAACTATTGTCACACTGGAACTATTGGGGGAGGGGGTGTGGTTGAGGGAGCAAAGATTGTGTTTAGCTGAAGAGTGAGAAGAGTCTGAAGTCATGTAAAATGCTTTAACTCTACTACTGTCCTATAAATAACTACAACAGAGTTAGAAGTCCAAAGGATGGATTTTGCTCAAGTTGTTAGAGTGAAGTTAAAAACTCTTAGATAAAGATAAACATTTTTGGAGAGATGTTAAGGCTAAAATGTTTTTGGATACAAACTTTGTCTTGCTTCTAAGAAATCTTGATAACATATAATCTTCATCCAAGAATATGTTCAGTTCAGGAAAACATCTTTTCTTTCAGACTTTTATGCTATTCCCAGCTATGAGCCTTTTAAATTACGTTATATTCCTTCTAGACCCCTTGATTTGGTCCCCACATGTAGCTATTACCAAAAGATGCTGTGGCCTACAATTGCAATGCCCTACTTTGGCATGTTTTCTATCTATAATCTTAATGATAATGCTACAGTAAGCAGATATATCCCCACTATTCCATTCCCCCTAGACCATGTATACATATAAAATAGTTCAACTATCATTGGTAACCTTAGAGAGTTGTTGCTGTTGTTGTTGTTGTAGAGTTGTTTCAATTGTGTCCAACTCTTCATGACCTCATTAGGGATTTTCATGGTAAAGATACCAGAGAGGTTTACCATTTCCTTCTCCAGCTTATTTGACAGATGAGGAAACTGAGGCAAACAATTTTGGGGGGGCAGACTTGCCCAAGGTAACACAGCTAGTATCTGAGAAAGCAGAGTTTAAAAATTATATCAGATTTATAAGGCTTTGTTATGCCTTATTCATTATGCCATTATGCCACACTGACCCCAAGTATGTAAAGCACTTTTCATGCATGTGTTTGTGTATATGTGTATACATGTACATGTTGCCCCCCCCTTTAGGGCAAGCATAGTGCCTACCTAGCACGCAGTAAACACTTACTAAATGTTTGTTAATTGGTTAGTTGCCTGAACATACATTGCACAAGCACACAGAGAGAGATAGGGAGAGATGAGAGGCAACATGGAGTAAGATGAAGTCACACGACATTCTGGTGCCCCAGAAACTTTCTGATACCAAAAACTGCAGAGCAGCTGCGGACCTGATTAGTAGCGATTCTTCACTGAGAGTTTCCTACACATTGAAATCACAGGCTCTACAACATTATCACACACATACACACACACTGTGAAGTTGTTAAGTCTGGCCTCAGACACTTCCTATGTGACCCTGGGCAAGTCACTTAACCTCTGTTTGCCTCAGTTTCCTTGTCTGTAAAATAGGGACAATAACAGCATCTAGCTCCCATGGATGTTGCAGGGATCAACTGAGATATTTGCACAGTGCTTAGCACAGTGTCTGGTACTTAATAAATGCCAGTTATTCTTATTACTATTATTATGTATCCCTCACCCCACCCCTTTCAGACACAATGCCTTCATGTCTTAGTATTCGTCTTAGGTTGCTGTAGTTGAGAAGAAAATCATTGACGCCTTATCTGCTGGTGATTGAGTCTTTCTGATAAGAGCAGCTTGCCTTGAAGGGCTGTTAAGCAGACTTCATAACTGATCCCTTGACTCCAAGGCTTTCCCCTTCCACCACTTTCTAAACTTCTCTGACTTTTAAACCCCAACTTGAGATATTTTCTTGAACCTGGAGCTTACTTGATTGGGGTCAGCCATGCCCAATTCCCAAAAGTCTTTTGTCCACTTCCACCCGTAACTGGATACCCAATGCTCTGCCATCCCTTTTCTGACACCAATTGTTTACCACACATTCCAGATCACAAAACTATATTTCAAAGGTTTATTTGCAAGAGAAGAGTATACACATTCAGGAAAAAGATACAAGAAGTAGGTGATTAAAAGTGCATATTAACCCCAAAGAGGTCAAAGAGGAAAAGGTGCTATATATACAAAATATATTTATAACAACTCTTTTTGTAATGGCAAAGAACTGGAAACTAAAGGAGTGCCCACCAATTGTGGAGTGGCTGAAAAATGATGATACATGAATATAATAGAGTATTACTTGAAATGATGAAAAGGACCATTTCAGAAAAGCCTAAGAAGACTTGTAGGAACTGATACAGAATGAAGGGAGCAAAATCAGGAGAACAATTTATACCACGGTATCAACATCATAAAAATGAACAATTTTTAAAGGCTCAAGCACTCTGATCAATGAAATGATTCCAAAGGACAGATGATAAGGAATGTTACTGAGCCCTGACAGAGAGGTGATGAATGTGTGGAATGAGACACACATTGTGTGGACCTCAATAACATGGAAATGTGTTTATCTAGACTATATTTAATTATTATTTTAAAAAAACTATGTAATGGTCAAAAATTTAAGTGTATATTTTAAAAATACAATTAGCCCGAGAGACAAAGTGATACTTTAGCTTTCTGATGTAATCTTTAATAAAAGTTCCTCAAGCCTAGTTCAGCTTTCATGATTCTTTCTGGTCCAGGTACACATATCATAACACCTCACTCCCCCATGGCAACACAGAAAATGATAGCTTCTTGCCCCCGCACCCCAAACAGTCTACAGCAGACCCACATCAGTTTAGTTTCTAAATCAAGCTTATTGGAGCATCCCAAAACTCCCAGCTCAGTCAGCCAAAGAGAAAGCCTACTAACTGCATGGCAGATTTGGGGGTGTTCAAACCCACATTTCTACAAAACCTTGGTTAGTTAATTTCCCTCATCTCTCAACAAATGTATGTGTCTGAAAGACGCAAAAGACAAGGAAAAGAAAACATTTTATTGAATGATATAACAAGAACCCAGAATGTCTTGGCCAAAATAAATAGCAGCAGATCTTGCCTTATAGTAGGCAACTTGTTTGAGAAGATAAAAAGTAAAGAATGCCTTTGACCACTGTTCAAAAATATCAACCCAGCACCTGTATCTCACTGACATAGCTTAATTCATATGGTGTTTGAGATCTGAAGGTTTGGGGTTTCTTAAGACTCTCTTATTAAGATGTAAATGATTCCTAGAAAGGGACCTTCTTCAAGCAAACCTTTTATTAAGGACTGACAGGATTGTCTAGATTGGGACATGGAATAGATCTGCATGTAGGACACAAGGCAGAAACAGAAGAGGAGAAAAGAAAAAAAGGAAAGGAGGCTTTATAGAAGATATCAGAGGTATCAAACAAATGTCTTCATTTCATAATTTTGCTATAGGGCTGGCCCTGAATAGTAGATCCAATGTCAAGAGGTCAAGAAAGTCCCCAGAAGAGTGAAACACTCTGCTGGATTCTGGAGTCATCTTCTCTAAATATGTCAATGAAGATTTCAAAGCTTTTTCTAAATAGACTTTGAGAAGACAAAAATGGTCCTCATTCTACATGGCTTCCTCTTTTTTGGTATATGCTCTCTTTGGAAGATTCTTTAAACATATTTAGTAGAAATGTTTGGAGGCAGAAAACTGTGTTCAAATTCCTGCCCTTTAATAGCTATCCAGTCTTGGACAAATCACTTCACCTCAGTTTTCTCATCTATAAAATGAAGAGGCTGGACTCTAAGGTCCCTTCTAACTCTAGACTGGTAATGGCGTGCTTGCTTTCTGTGGCTTCAAAGTAAGCTTTGGGCCACAACAGTCTCTTTTCCAGGAGAAGCCTCCTGCAAGGCTCAGAGGGCATCTCAGGAGACTCATAGATGGCTGAGCAGAACAACCAAGGAATCTTTTTTTCTTTTCTTTTCTCTTTTCCTTTCTCTCTTTTCCTTTCTTTTCTCTTCTTTCCCTTCTAAATCAAGTCATCCTGTCAAAACCTTTAACTAATTTGCAAGTAAAATGACACAAAGCAGCAGAAAAAAACCCCACAGGCTGTTAGAGGTGAAGAAGAGGAGAGGTACTACACATAAATGTTGCAGATGTGTGGGCTTTTCGGTTCATGGGAGTCATGCCCATGGTTCCTCAGTGGCTCCTTCTCTTCAGTGGCCACCTCGAGGTCTTTCATGGGCACAAAGTAGGCGGGCGACGCTTTGCGGTCATAGTGCCTGTCAAGGGACTTCAGGTGGATCAGCATGTGTAGGGCATATGCCAGCACCAGCAACAGGATCAGGGACATAGCCAGGCCCATCAGAATGGCTGGGGAGAAGAACGAGGCACAGTCCCTGGGGTGAGAAAATTGGCCCTCCTTGACATTAAAACCTTGAATCTGTCAGGAGAAAGAAAAGACCTCAATTGAAACCCTCTGTTCCTCTCATGAGACCAACTTCACAATCTTACACTCAGATTTTGGTGAAGGCTCTGAGCTGGAGAGCTTTAGGGTGAGGCTGGCTCATAAAAGTCATTTGTATCAGGAGAGGCAGTGTTGAATGGTGGACAGCATGCTGGACTTGGAGTCAGAAAGACCTGAGTTCAAACTCTGCCACTGGCACTTTATTTAAATTCTCTCAGCCTTAGTTCCCTCATCTGTAAAGACAGGGATAATAATAGCACCCACCTCAAGAGGTTGTTGTGAGGATCAACTGAGGTAAAGTATGCAAAGCACCATCTAAACTTAAGCTTTTAAAATATCATATTTAGGGCCATTCAGTTTCATTTGAAACACTTCTGCCATAACAGCTTCTGAAATTCTAACCACATTTAGATGGGAAATCTGGTCACACAAATCCGGACTTGCTCAGAATTTTATTGCCAGGTTCAGTACTATTAATAATCATGATGATGATAGCTAACATTTATATAGCACCTACTACATGCTAGGCACCGTGCTAAGTACATTACAATTCTTATCTCATTTGATCCTCACAACAACCCTGGGAGGTAGATGCTATTATTACCCCCATTTGACAGATGAGGAAACTGGGGCAGAAGTTAAGTGGCTTGCCCAGGGTCACAAAGCTAGTGTCTGAGGCTGCATTTGAACTCAAGTCTTCCTGAGTCTAGGCCCAGTGCTCTATTGACTGTGACCTAGCTGTTAGAGGAGACAAAGAGTGTCAATCTCTTTCTCTTTCCCACAAATTTTGGGGGGGAAAATGTACAAAAGCAAGGAAGAGGAGAGGTGGGAGGGGAGGGGAAGACCTTTAGCTGTCCTCAGGAAAGACAGAAGTCAGAGTAAGCTCCCCTGAGTTATAAAGTAAGATGACAAGTTGGATAAATATATTTAGCCCTTTTCCTAAATAAAGATAAATAGGACTGAGAGGCTTAGTGGGCTATCTCCTGCTCTCAAACTGTGGTGGCAAAAGGAAACTCCTTTGCCCAAACAGTGCTGAAAACCTCGGGGGTATTTTTGGCCTCATCCTCCACCACCTTCCAGACTGTCACATCCAAGCTTGCCCACAGAAGGGCTTCTTATCTTCCCTTCTGCATTCACAGAGGGGCCTCACTCCCCAGAAGGAAAGGAAATGCTTGTCCAACAAGCACTCTGCCCGGAATGGGCCTCTTCACTCCAGGATGTGACGGTCACTGGGCTTCAGATCACAGCCCCATTTTGTCTCCTCTCTGGCGGATGGACATTCTTAACTGATAACTATGTAGTGCCTGAATGGAAAACTGATTTCTTTAAAGCATGACCTTTAAAAAGGGAACAGGGGTGGGGGTGAGAGAGGAGGAGGCAAGGATGAGATAGGAGGGAGGAGGGGGGAGAGAAAAGGTCAATCCTATATCCCCTTTCATTCATTTATTAGACGATAAGGGCAAAATATAAACTGTTTTTAAAGCTGTGGAGTAGATCATCTTCCATCCCTTATCCAAAGCACTAAATTTCCGATGGCTTAATCGAGCTCAACGTGCAGTGGCCAATCAATGCAAGGATTGTCATTTTGAGTCCAAAATATTACCTGGAAATCAATAAAAGTGACTTCCCATAGCCTGGAGATGTCATTTGTGGAGCTGGGCACCAAAAGCGCATCGTATCTCTGCAGGCTGCTGACATGCTGACAGTGATAGGAATACTTTGATGGAGCATGGATTCGAGTTGCCTTAAAAGTTGCTTGGATTGAATTATTATAAAGAATCTGAACTCTATGTAAACTAAACCAGCTCTGAACAGACAATCTGTTATAGTTGATCAAGATGAATCTGAAAAGAATTTCAAAACCAAGAATTAACAAAGAAGCATGATGTTTAAAGTCTGTCCAGCTGTCTTCTAGGGATGGAACAACAGCGCCCTCTCTTGTCATGTGTAAGAACTGACTTTGGGAAAAGCTTTCAGACCTGAGCTCTGAAGCAATCCCTAAAATGGTCCTTTCATCCTCCTTGGAAAAGGAAAAAGAGAGACATACAGAAGAACAAGAGGAGGAAGAGAAGGAAAAGAAAGAGAAAGGAGAGAGAAGGAAAAGGGGGAGAGGAAGAGAAAAAGGAAAGAAGAGGAGAGAGAGAAAGGAAGAGAAAGGGAGGAGATGGAGAGAGGGACAGAAAAGCAGAAGGAAAAGGGGAAGTGATGAAGGAGAAGGAGAAAAAGAAAATGAAAGCCTGAGACAGCATGAAAGAACTCAAGAAGACTGAAAAGTGCTGACAGATTTTTTTTAAATCAAGACCTTATGTATATGAGAAAAACCATCATTCACATATAAAAATGAACTTATGTTTGGCCATTGGAAGAGCCTTCTTTGCATGTGGTATAGCTTTGAAAATCAATAATAATTTAGCCCATCCTCACATCTAATGGCTGTATTCCAGTTATTTTAAAGATAAAAGTGCTAAACTCAGCTTTATGAATTGCTACTTTCTCATCCAATAAATCTTTGTGACCTAGTAACCAGACCTGCTATGCCTGAATTACTGAAGATCTCCCTGGTGACAGGCTAATATTTTAAAAGGGCAGAATGAAAAGAGTCCTTTTCTAGACTCAAAGGATAATACATCTGGAAAAGACCTTGAACATCAGCTGGCCCTGTTTTCTACTCTTTTATAATTTACTTATTCTTGCCTTAGATACTACTGCTATGTGACCCTGAATAAGTCACTTAACCCCAACTCATTGGGAAAAAATAATAATAATTTACTTATTCTCGGTATAAAAGCTCTCCAAATTAGTTGTTTTTACATCAACAGCCATCATTTGCCAATATAAACCAGCAATAGCAGCCACACTGAGGTTCTTGGTATCCCCAATTACTCATTTTAATTAGTCATCTTCTCTATGTATACTTCCATGTTGGGCCTGCCCCCTACTCTCCATGCACTTGTTATATTTACCTGTAGATAAAGACCTGTTCTTCAATTGCCTTTCAGATTATAGCCACTTTTCACTATCACCATCAAATACTATTTAAGAGTCTTACCTTGTATGGCTCAGTGATCAGTACTATATAGAACAATTCATATAGCCACAGCATTTGCCCTCCAGCAGCTGTCAGCCTGAGATTAAAGGTTATCATTGGCATGCCTGGGTCACTATAAGTTGGTGATAATGATAAAAGGTATGAATGGATGTACCAGGAAGGAGCTGAAAAAAAAAACGCTACTAGAGGATCCCAGGGGACAGTTATAGTCTTCTCTGTAATGAAGTATGTATAACTTTTCTTGTTCCTTTGTCCTATAAAGTATTACTAATGTAAAAAAGACTTTAAAAATTACATATTTTCTAGCCTAAAACATACCTGATGTCAAGTCCTTTTAGATTGTCAATATCACCAAATTTCAGGCAAAGCCTAAAAGAAAGAGTAAAACACACTAAACAACAAATTGAAATAATAAAAGAAATTGAAATGGGAAAGGATGAGGCTTCTAAAGCATAACATAAAATGATTATATTTGCAAAGGCAACCCAGGCCTGGGACATTGGCTAAATGCTGCTTGGCTTAGTACTAGAAAGAGAAGACACAACAGAAGTAGGCTTCAGCTATCCAGTTGGAAAAAAAAAGTCAGCCACAATAAAACCTGATTAGTTCAAGTCTCATTAATTTGAGATTCAGACTGAACTGAAGTTTACTTTGGCCACTTACCTAGGGGGAAAAAATGTTTGTCAAGCAGATTAATGTTACCAAGATTGTTAAGGTGATATTGTACCTCCTTAAAGGACCAAATGGTTTTCAAGAGCTTTACAAAGACCAATCTATGAACTACTGATATGCTAATCATCCTACAGTGGGGAGTGACTGGGTGTTGGCAATGTGGAAGTGGATGAACAAGAAAGGAAGTGGAAAAGCAGATATGAGAACTGGGGAGGGGAAGGGAATAAGCATTTCTTAAGCACTGACTATGTCTAAGGCACTATGCCAAGCACTAAGCAAATATCATTCCCTTTGATCCTCACAACAACCCACAATATTATTATCCCCATTTGCAGTTGAGGAAACTGAGGAAGGCAGAAGTTAAGTGACCGACCTAGGGTCACATAACTAGGAAGTGTCTGAGGCTGCATTTGAACTCAGGTCTTCTTGACTCTAGGTCTAGCACACTATTCATTATACCACCTATTTACTTCAAGTAGCACAAATGAACAGGGCAGTGGCCAGAGCAAATACAAGAAAGGTACCAACCGACACAGGGGAGCTAAGACCCGGATCTGTGGACAATAAATGGAGAAATAAGAGGACCCCATGAAATAGATCATGACTAGACCATAAGGACTCAAGGCCAACATGGGATTCCTGGGAAAGAAATTCTAAGAGGTACGTTAAGCTGTACGCTAAGTCTTTATCTCTGGGTCTTGTGACTTCTGAAAGAGACTATCTCCTCCTATTCTTACTACTCTGCTAGAGAATCAGGTATTGAAGGGGAATGAGATTCTAACTGTTGGAGATTATATCTCTTTTTGTACAGGTACAGAAAATGTGGCATTATCTGATTCCTTTCCCTGGCATTTATGATGTTTCATTGCTTGGTTAAATGCTTTTGCTAATGGATTTGTGAGGGCAGCCGAGAGATGCAGTGGATTGAGTGTCAGGCCTGGAGTCAGGAAGACTCACCCTCCTGAGTTCAAATCTGACCTCAAACACTTACTAGCTGCATGACCCTGGGCAAGTCACTTAACCCTGTTTGCCTCAGTTTCCTTATCTGTAAAATGAGCTGGAGAAGGAAATGGCCAAGAAAACCCCAAATAGGGTCCTAAGGATTCAGACACAACTGAAAATGACTGTGTGGATGTGTGTCTGGTTTGGAATGAACTGATAGCAGGCTCAGGTAGTAATTTAATAGCTGATTCCTCCCTCCCCCCCCCATACAACCACAATGAACCTGGGTGTATTTAAGGTTATTATAATTCTTATCTATTTACACAAAAGTGAAGTCTATAAAAGGACTTCTACTTGGAGCAATTTGTTCCTTTAATGTAAATCAACATGTGTAACAGAAAGTAATTTAATTCAACAACCACTTAATGAAGCACTCACTATAAGCAGAGCACCCCTGAAGACAGTGCAAAATTTGGATAAAAGACAAATCCTAACCCCACTGAGCTTATAGCCTAGTCAAAATTAATTTTCAAAATTCCACAATCCAAATACTTCATTTATTCAAAGTGCTTCCTCCTTTTTCTCCCAAATTTTTGAAGCTCTACTAGTGCTGTAATGCAGAAATGTTTCACTAACAGAGCTCCAGGAATATTTATGGGGCACATGGCCCCCTAAGCCCCAGCCAGGCAGCTCATGGAATGGGGTTTCAGCTTAGGTCTCAATCATTTGAAAAACTACCCGATGTTATGATCCACTAAAGCCAAGGAAAAACCAATCTCCACCCTGAATACCTTCAGGCTCCCTGTGTCCATGCACTTGCTAGGACAGATGATTAGATTTCATGTTCCTGACAGTCAAATAGCATTTATGATGAGACACTGGGAAAAGAGGATTATAAATTTGGAGATGGAAGGGACCTTATAGATCACTTAGTCAAAGCCTCATATTACAAAGGAGAAAACTGAGTTCCCAAGAAGTTGAATAACATGTCCAATGGCACAGAGGTGCCAAGTGTCAGAGTAAGGATTCAAACCCAGGACTGTATATCATGACTCTAAAGTCAGCATTCTTTCCATTGTACTATGCTCGGATGCAAGCTAGCAAGCCAGCTGCGTGTTAATAAACATATGGCCTGCTTTAAGAATTTGAAATCCAGAAGCAGTGGACCAGAATAATTTGAAAACTTTAGCTCCCCTACTTTCTAAAGTATGTCTGTCCCTTCTGCCAAGCCACCCTTCAAGCCAGATTCTGTCTGTTCTGGGATCTTGCTGCCTAAGCATGAAATTCACCCAGATGCCTCGCCTATGCTGTGTTTGGTATGCTGCTCTCACTTTTTCAAACAAGATTCCCTTTGTGATGCCTTCTGCCAACAGTTATTCTCTCCCCAAACATTTTGGTACCAAGAGCAAAATGTGGTCATTTTTTTAAAGGCTGTACTTTTTTTTTACCTTACATGGTTATATATGCCTGGATTTTGTTCCTTCGCCATGGTGACTCTTGAGGAAATGAGGTTCTGAGTCACTTGCTTACCAGCAATGGTAGCAGCATGTCACTACAAAGAATGTGGACAATCAGCTGCATTGGACTCAAGCCTTCCCTGGAGTCTCAGCATCTGATCCTGGAGGTCTTGACTCCACCAGGAGCCTCATAGCATAACTCCCTTCTTCTGCTTCTCAGTGAAGTTGCTAACTACTCACCACGCTAGGGAAAGAAAGGGAGCATTCTTAAGTGGTTCTGTGGAAGATAGGAAATCGAATGGCACCCAAGCACGTGGAATCAACACCACATACTGAAGTTTGTCCAACAGGTAGATAGTTAAGTATCCTCTGTTAGTTAAGTTAATGTAGTTAAGGATCCTCTGTAGGAATGATAGAGTTGAAGTCAGATTTTAGTTTACACATCCTGGGACTTCAATGGATCTGATAGCTCATCAATGGCATAACAGAAAGAGTACAGGATTTCAAAACCTAACTTGAAATCCCAGCCCAGACATTTACTAGCTTTAGGACCATGAGCAAGTCACTTAACCAGAAGCAGTTGGGTGGTGAAGTAGATAGATCACTAAGCCTGGAGTCAGGCACACCGGAGTTCAAATTCAGTTTCAGGCAAACTTCTTGGCTGTGTGACTCTGGGCAAGTCACTTAACTCTGTCTGCCTCAGTTTCCTCAACTGTAAAATGGAGATAATAATAACAGTATCTACTTCTCAGGGTTATTGTGAGGATCAAATAAAATAATATTCATAAATTCTGGCACAGAGTAAGCACTTAATAAATGCTTGACTGTTTTCCCCTTAACCTCTCAGAGCCTCAGTTTCATCATTTGTGTAATGGCGATTATAATACTTGTAGTATCTATCTCATAGAATTGTTATGAGGAAAGAGCTCTGCAAACCTTAAAATACTATGTAAAGGTGATTATTTCTCACTCCAACGGCATAGATCACAGTTCATCCCTACCTTCTCACATACAGTGATTCTTGCTCATGGCCTTCCATAACATTTCATCAGTTCAGCTCAGTATTAAGTTAGAAAGTACAGAACTAATCAGATTTTTATAAGCTGGTTTTCTTTTCAAGACTATATTTAGACAAAGTAAAAACAAAGAGAACCTACTAAATGTTCTGGGCGACTCTCCTCTGGTTAATTTAACATTTTGTGGGTACAAAGGCAGTTGACCACCTGTCATGCATGACCAGCCTACTTCCTCACACCATCATATACTTCCCGGATAATATCCTTCACTTCTTGCATGTAAATCATTATTGGGAAAATGACGCAGCCTTCTTATGTCTATAGTGTGTCTCTGTATTGCCCTTTGATTAATCCACAATTTTAATTCTTCACAGATTGAACTGTTCTATGAATTGCAGTCAAATTGCATCTCTGGGAGAGTAAAGGCACCCAAATAATGATTTGTGTGTGCATCAAAAAGCAGCTTGGGATCATTGAAATGGAAGCACAATTTCTCAAATTCAATTCTGCCCCAGCTATGCCTCCTATTCAATTAAGATTATAAGGGGGCAGGTAGGTAGCACAGTAGGGGTCAGCTAGGTGGCGCAGTGGATAGAGCACCTGCCCTGAAGTCAGGAGGATCTGAGTTCAAATCTAGCCTCAGACCAAACACTTGACATTTACTACTAGCTGTGTGGCCCTGGGCAAGTCACTTAACCCCAATTGCCTAATCTAAGGAAAAAAAGATTATAGTTCATTTTTCCCATATGCATTGCCTGTCTATGATCTATCCAATGATGGACTGACTCAACAGACTATTCATCTGCATATCATAGTCTGAACAATAGGCATTTTTCATCCATTTGATTTTTCCTATATAAACTGCTAGACTGCTCTCTTCTGAGTCACTGAGGGATCTCATTTAGTAGTCCCTGTAGCATTCTTGGGTTTGATGAAATCAGCAAAATCTTATCCACCTACAACTGTCTCTGGGTCACCTCAGTATCAAAGCGAGTCCCTCTTCCATTTGGACCCTGTGCAGGACCCATGACAGGGCTAACAACTCTGGTGAACACATGCTACCCCCACTTGGAAAGATAACCTAAGAATTATTAAACTATTATTTCTGTTGTTACATCTTTCATAAATCTTGTATGACGGATCTTTGTGTACATGGGAGACTTTTCTTAGGAGAGCCTTTAAGAATACATTTTGTTTAGCAGAATTAAATATTTTTTAATAGTCAATAAACAATAAACATAGCAGGATCTTGAATTTTCTACAAATTTCAGTAAATTGTGTGACTATAAAGATCTGGCCTGCTGTAGAATTTTTTTTTTTGCAAAAGCTTGTCCTCTTCTCATATTTTCATAAAAGTTAGCTTGACTCTTTTAAAGGACAGAACACTCTCATAAAGATTTCATACAGAGGAAAAAGTAAGTAGTTATTAAAGTTACTTTGGTTGCCATTTGGGGGAAATAATTTCTTTCATATGGATAATTCCATTCATTCTTTTCATCCAACTAATCACTGAGCATCCTCCACTCTCAGGTATTTTAAAAATTGCTCCTTTGATGCTTTCAAAATGATGTCATTTCCTATACTGATATTTTTTCAGTTTGTACTTAGTCTAATCCAGCTTTGCTTCCTGTCTTTGCTTTCTGTGAATTAGAGCCATATCAGCTTCTTCACATACCACATTTGAGATTCAGACATAAAAGCTGAAGGATAGTGGTTTTTCTGTCATTGATGGCAACAATGGTTAATTGTAAAAAATGCTCACAGATGGGTGACGGTTTTCAAAAGCTTCATTGAGGCTTATTGTTCTTACAACAGTCATTTCCCCTTAACCCTTACCCCCACTGAACTCTCCCTTGTAGCAAAGAAAAGGAATTTTTAAAAATAAGCAAAACCAACAACACAGTGACAATATTTGATTCATTTCACCACATTTTACATCCTGAGTTCTGCCTTTCTAATGAGAAGAGAGAATGAAACTCATGTCTCATTACTGGTTCTCCAGGCCCAAGATTAGACACTCCAACTAATCAGAGTTCAACTGCTTTCTGACATTATAAGTATTTGATTTGATTTGATTTGATTTTGTATTTTTACCTCTCGTTTCATCTATAAAACTCTAGGAATAACAGCTAGGATTTCTACAGCTCTCTAAGGTTTGCACAGCACTTAACATCTGTCTTGAGAGGTAAGTGCTTATTATTATCATGGACATGTTACAATAGAGGAAAGTGAGGCAGACAAAGGTTAAATGACTTGCCTGGGGTCAGGCAGCTGGCAAATGCCTCAGGCTAGATTTGAACACAGTTCTTCCTAACCTCAGGTCCATCACTCTATCCAGTTGGGTTTCACAACAAGTCTTCTACACATTCATTTTTCCCTCCACTATTCATCCCTCTTTTGTGAGGTAATGTTGTTCATGATTTTCCACTGTCCCCCTTCATAACATTTTGTTAATGTTAGACCTCAGTTTCAGTTGGGAATGCCACAGTTTAAGGACACCGATAAACTGGAAAGCATACAAAGATGATGAAAGAACCTGACCTTACATGAGGTTGTCTAACTCAACTTGTATAGCCTGGAGAAAAAGAAATCTCAGATGGCCATGATAGGTCAGTATTCAAGAATTTCAAAAGGTGGTCATGTGCAAGAAGAATTAGATTTGATCTCTTTGGTCCCAGAGGGCAGAACCAGGACCAATGTGGGGAAGTAACAAAGAGATCAATTGAGGCTTGATTTTGTAAAAAATTCCCAATAACTAAAGCCTTCCAAAACTGGAGTGGTAAGTTCCCCATTCCTTGGATGTCTTCAGGCAGAAGCTGGATGGGTCCTTGTTGGGAGTGTTATAGCGGGAATTCCTTTTATGGATCAGTTAGAGTAGATGGCTGCTGACTGAGGTCCCTTCCAATTCTCCAGTTCGGTAATTCTGTGAGTGTACGGACTATAATGGCATTGCTCTTGGCTTCTCTGCCTCTCTATACAGCAAGGACCCAAACATCTATTGGCTATGTGATTTGGAGGGTTTTTGCATCTCTTCATTGTGGCAATTGTTTTAACTTGATTAAACTTCTATAGAAAATCGATGATAGTCCAACACCTGCACATATTATTAACATAAGGCAACAATAACAATACAACATTATATATGTATCCTCCAATGTCAGTAACTCTGGATTTTCTTAGGTAATGTCAGGAGATCACAAACTCTGACCAGTCCTATGAAGCTAGAAATCCTCCAAATATGGGTTATATGTCTGTCATCTTGGATCCAGGCTAGTTGAATTCAGAGAGGCTCATTACCTGGTTGGCACCTGGGAGACAAATTTTCCAACCATTGTAACTTTCAAAGAACATCTACCAAATGATTGTGGCATTATTATCTTACTGTGGTAAAGGGAGTATTCGCAGCAATGAAATCATGACTCCTCGAAGTATTGAAATAAATTCATTTATACAGCACATAACCATGTAATGAGCACTTTCCCATGCACTATCTCATTTGATTTCTACAATAGTTCTGTAAGGCAGACAGGATGCTGTTGTTGTTGTTGTTATTGTTCCCAGTTTGCAGATGACAAAACTGAGAATTACAGAGTTTAAGTATCATGCCTTAAGTAAGCTCACCCTGCTGAGTAACAGAATCATGACTAACAGCCAGGTCTTCTGATACCTAGTCAAGAGCTCTTTCGATTTGAAGGCATCAGTGATTTTTGAGGGCTCTGAAGACTCCCTCCACCAAGGAGAGGGTGATGTGGTTTCTTTCAAAATGAGCCAGAGGGACAGGAGAATAACTATCCTGCCTCCTTGCTCCTAACCACGGAAAGGGGTACAGGTCAGTGCACTGGCTAGGGTATAAGAAAGTGATGGTCAACCAGCCTCTTCTGCACAAAGAATCAGACAAGAAAGACCTCCTGGTGGTTACAGTCTGAGGCAAAGGTCATCAGCTATCACTGAGGTCATTACTATGTATCTCACCTGGAAGAAGAGTTAAAATGTCTATCTTGGTGGAATTTAAACTATTACTTAATATTTATTAATAGTGACACTATTAAGAATAACATAAGAAACCAATTTTGGCTTGGAAATAGACATCAACATAATAATCTGTTTTATCTTTCATGAGAAAGGAATGTATAAAAGTGGGTGGTGAAGTTTCAGGTAGGAAAAGGTATTTCAGACTAAAATATGTATATAAAAACATAAATATAAGTTCCATTCAATTACCCATTTATAAGAACCATCCATTTGTCAGTAGCTGAGCACAATCTCAGAGCACCACTTAAGACCATTCAAAGCCAATCATATCACAGCCATTGAAAAGGTGGTTTATAGTCATGGAAATGTTAAATTACCTATGACATGAGCTAAGCAAAATAAATAGCTGAAGCCATTAGAAGGTATTTATAAGACATCCTTTACGAAGTGGTCTTTGAAAATCTTAGAAAGGTAAAGGAGTTCACTCCCAGTTATTTTCTGGAAAATGTTTCCTGACTATAGCTTTGGAGAACTAGTTCCCAGTTTGTTTATTTTGCTCAGTTTAAGTTAAAAATAATAATCCTCAGCATTATGAATGATTCTAAATGACTTTCTAAAGTCTAACTATTCAAAAGAGGAACGATCATCTGCAGATTGGCAGGTCTCATGTATGAAAATTAGTATGATATAGTAGAACAAGCACTGAACTTAGATTCCGAAGGCCTAGTAAGGCCTCCCCTTATTAGGAGTATGAAATGGGTAAAGACATTAAATGGGCATTAGAGTACTTAGCACTTTGGACTTCCTAAGGCTTTGTGAGGAAAGAACTTTGCAAACTGTAGCGTGTCATAGAAATGAGAGTCAGTAGGGCAGCTAGGTGGTAACAGTGGCTAGACGACCAGTCCTGGAGTCAGGTGGAACTGAGTTCAAATCCAGTCTCAGACGCTTACTAGCTACGGGACCCTGGGCAAGTCACTTAACCTCCATTACCTCAAAAAAAGAAAGGTGAGCTAGTGTTATTATATATAATGTGTATGTTTATCTAGTCCATCCCTGGCCTAAAAACGTCCATGGCTTTGAGGGACAAAAGAGAACTGCACCCCCTCTGCACTGATCTTGGAAATAGTTTGACCCTTCTCGTGTTTTCTCTGTTTCCACCAAGGTCACAGGAGTCACATTGCTTGCTTCTAGGATCTTGTGAAGCACACATGGTCAAGAATGCCTATTTCCTTTGCTAAGAGTATATTGAGGATGAAGGGCAAAAGGTGCTCCCAATGTCTCAAGTTGAAACCTGGACAAAGATATCACATAGAAAATATAAATGGTGAGCGGGTTTTGCTATTTTTATCCATTTGAAAGGCAACGTGGCTTAGTGCATGAACAGGTAGACTTCATGCCAGGCAAACCCAGGTTCAAGTCCTGCCTGTGACACTTAATGGCTGTGTGACCCTGGGCAAGTCACTTAGCCATTTTGCCTCAGTTTCCTCATTTGTAAAATGAACTGGAGAAGGAAATGGCAAACCACTCCAGTATCTTTGCCAAGAAAAGCCTAAAATGGGATCATGAAGAGTCAGACACAATTGAAAAACAACTGAACTGATCCCTCTAATGCTCTATTTCCTTGAAGAAAATTTTCAGGGTCAACCCCAAGGGAGCCAATTTCTCCTTTCTAAATAGTCCCTAAACAGGGACATCAAATATTACAAAAGTCCTCAGCATTGTCATACTAGCTAATGATAGGTTAGGAGAGATGGCAGCAACAATATAATTCCCAAACCCTGATGCCCCTATTGGAAAGATTTCATACTTACATGGCATTTTCTTCACTGCAGTTTGAATTGCCAATATCCACTCTTGCTTCTTTTCCAAATGTCTTATCTGTGAGGTCCAATAGAGGCTGATTTTTAAATTTAATTGTTATTCTCTTTGCCCAGAAGAGAATGCAAGGAGTTCCATTGACTGAGACATTAATGGGAGTGAGATGGCTGGGGCTGAAGGTCTTCCAAGGTTCTCGCTCTAGGTTTCCTTTTTTGATGAGATTGTAGTTGATGCTCTAATTAGGCAAATACATATTTTTAAAATATAGACATGTATATTTTAAAAAGACAACAACAAAGAACTTAATTCTCCATGATATAAAAGCTTCCCTAGAAATGGAAAAGTTCAGAAGTCACATGTAGGGATGTTAGATGACCTAGATCAGGAGTGGGGAACCTGTAGCCTTGAGGCTACATGCAGTCCTCTAGGTCCTCAAGTACAGCACTCTGACTGGATTCAGTCAGAGGGCCATACTTGAGGCCACATGTGGCCTCAAGGATGCAGGTTCCCCACCCCTGATCTAGATAATAACAGAACCATAACTGGGATTCTGATTTTTTGCACCCAGAGAACCAGAGGCACCCCCAGTTAATGAGTTGGGAGTGTATTTTGTGTAGACACAACACCTGAGACAAGAACCCCAGAATATCATGAAGCCATCCACTTCTGGGTCAACTGCCAACCAATTTATCCCAAAGGAATCAAGTCATTTGGAAATCTCCAACTGAAACTCATTATTCTTGATAACTAGGTACTAAGGTCTGGTGTCTTGACATACTACTTGGCTTCTAAGAAGACTGAATCCTGGGGGAACAGAAGCAGGAAACAGATCCCAGGGCCAGCGCTCTATTCACTGTGCAACCTAGCTACCCCTGTCTCTCTTAATTAAATTATATAATAATTAATAACTAATTTAATTAATGTATAACTAATAATTAAATCATATTATACTAATATAAATTGATAAATAAATTAAATAATAAATGCTAATTGACTAATAATTAATTTAAAACCTATGGAACAGATATGTGCTTTTAGAGAGAGGACTGAAAGAGAGTTTGAAGCCAAAAACACCACCCAAAAAATAAAATCACTCAAAATATCATGCCTGACATACACTCCTTCCTTACCTGTCTCACAGAGTCTCTGTCTACCTTTAAGATACAACTCAAGCACCATATTTTACATTTTTGCCTGTTCTAGTCTCACTAGTTCCTAATCCCAAACTCTTTGTATTTAACTAGTTTGTATATATTTGTATTTATTCACTTTATATTTATGTTGTATGCATTTTTGTCTCCTGTTTAGAAGGTAAACTCTTTTGGAACAGAGATTGTTTTATTCTTTATTCTTGTATCCCTAGCACTGAGCTCAATGCTTTGCACACAGTAGACACTTAATAAATACCTCTTGATTAATTGTTTGAAGTCAGAGCTAGAAGGGACCACAGCGATCAAATAGTCAGTCAAATTCCTTGATTTTACAAGGTAAGAAACTGAAGTCCCAGATGGGAGCAACTGACTTGCTCCTAAGTGGAGCCATAGAATACGAGCACTGGGCCTGGAGTCAGGAAGGCCTGAGTTCGAATACAGTCTCAGACATTTACTAACTATATGACTGACCCTGTGTAAGTCGCTGAACTACTATTTGTCTTAGTTTCCTCATCTGTAAAATGGAGATAATAACAGAAACCACCTCCCAGAGTTGTTGTAAGGATCAAATGAGATAATAACTGTAAAGTGCTTAGCATAGTGCCTGGCACATAGTAGGCATTATATAAACATTAGCTATTATTACTCTTGTAACTTAAAAGTTCAAATTCCAAGATCAAGATTGTTTTATGAGGTGCCTAGGATACTGAAACATTGACAGAAAACAGAACAATCACATCCAAAGCAAAATTTTTGTTACCTTTGGTCCTCTAAAAGCTTTCCATTTATAACTGTTTGGAATAAAATGTTTTGTTTTGTTTTTTATCTTTCAAAAAAGATCTTATCATAAACAGAACATTCCATAGCTAAAAGAAGGCCTGACTCTCTTAAACAGTCTCCACTAGTAAAACATAAGGGCTTTAAGAAAAATTAAATGTTCTTGGCTATTAAATTTCACCAATCTGATCTAAAATTATCAGATAGTTAATCTTGCTGCAGGGGCAGCAGGATTACAAACATCTAACAGATGCTGGGAGATACAACAATGAAGCACAGAAAAATAAAGAGAACCTCAGAGTCAAGGAGGACAAACAGTTACTAATATTTATTTAACTATTGCGACCAAATCGAAGGAAGGAGAGTTCCTAAAAAGAACACTAACACAGTGACATAAAATGCAGATGATTACAGGCTTCAGTGGCTGGAAAATTATTCTGCAAAATAAATCAACCCAATCTAGCTCCTTAGTAAGTCCATTTATAAATGGAGCACTTAATTGCTCCCTGAAAGCCAATAGATTCAGCTCCATTAGACTGGTGCAAGTTGGGAATATTGGCCCAGGAAAGTAACAGAAATGTTACTTGTTTCAGAATGTAACAAAAATGTTTCAGGAAGTAACAAAAATGCAAGAAACACAGTTTGAACTCCAAAGCAAACAAATGCAAAGTGATGCTTAGGATATAGGCAATAAATACCAGAAAGTAGACAGCCATGCTCTGAGTCACTCAGAACCTTCCACTGGTTTCTTGCTCCAAGCACAATGGATTACAATGGTCCTGGAAGGGGATCACAAATGGATGCATGGGTCCTACTCCCTATACTTGGAGCAGTGGTAAGTGGTAAAATTTTACTCTGATGACAGGCAATGTGGCATAGTAGATAGAGTGCTGGATTTGTAGTCAGGAAGCATTGGGTTCACATCCTGCCTCTGACACTTAATAGCTATATGGCCCTGGGCAAATCATTTAAACTCTTTGAGCTTTTGTTTCCTCATCTATAAAATGAGAGAGTTGGAGTCAATGACTTCTAGGGTCTCTTCTAGCTTTAAACCTAGGCTCCCACAATCTGCAGGGTGAAAAAAGTCAAAGGAACCTCACTGAAATGGGGTGATTTAACTGGTTTTAACGATGGAACTATTCAATGAAACACATCAAGCTACACTTAAGAAATGACATAATATAATTTCCTGACACATCCATACCTGTGAAGTTGGTTTTGATTTAAAATTTGGGGTTGCCTTCATGTGTCTATCATGCCTCTGATCTTCCAAAGAAACAGTGCTATGAGGACAAGAGACAAATGTCATCGTTGTATTGTTGTACCATACAATTATAACATCACTGACTCCTGACAACACGCTAAACTAAAATCATACCCGGGCCCACTTGTACATTTGGCAAAGAATTTAGGACATGTTTCCCAGAAGTACAAACTCACAGATTCTCAGAGGTCTTCTAGTCCTCACCACACCCGAACACTAGAGGGATAAGAACCAGGCCTGGGATTTCATTGATATGGAACTCTCAGGTGACAAAGGTCCTTCTATCCACAAAGGTCAGTACCTTCTGTGCAACTTATAATCTTAAGAGAGTTGCTTGGGACACTGAAACATTAAATGATTTACTCAGGGTCAAAAAGCAGGTATATGTTAGAAGCAATATTTGGGCCCAGGTCTTCTGGCTGTAAGGCTAGAGCTTTATCTCATTCACCATGATGCCTTTCATATCTGAACAGGGGTCCCAATTATTAAGAGCCTCCAATAATAACAACAGAAATTTATTCATCATTTAGTATTAATTTTGAACAACTTCAACATCTATATTCCATGATATCTATCACAGAGAAATACAAATAATTCATGAGAGCAATCCCCAATCTTACCACTGCTGAAGACCGGACTGAAAGTATTCATGAATTAAAAATGTTTAAATGCTAAAGAAATTACTCTACCTCAAATTTCATAAAAATTTGAAAGCTGAATTTTTCTGCTTTTAAAACTTTAGGTGACAAGAAGTCAGATTCTTATTCTAACTCTATTCTTACAGCAAAAGTTCTCCTTAGCTAAGACCAAAGTTCATATTATGCTAATGGTAAAATTTCCTGGAAAAAAACCTACACTAACTGATTTACATCATTGTAATGAGAGACAGTCACTCTGTATCAACACATATATTCAAGACATTATTTGACTTAATGCTTAACTAAATTTGTGGCATAATGAGGTGCTTTGTAAGGAACTTTTACATGATTTAGTACATTAACCTATTAAAAAGCATGAAAGAAACTTCATTAGTTGAATTCCACTCATGGGCATCAGATTAATGGAGACAACAGATGGACAACTAAAGGGATACCTTAGTACCTTCTACCAATTCTACCTTCTTGATGCTAAACTAATAAAAGGAACTTTTCTAGCATACAGAACATAGGATTATAGGTTTAGAGCTAGAAGGATCTCATAGGTCATTTAAACCAACCTCCTCATCTGTAAAAACGAGGAAAACTGAAGTCCAGTGAAGTTAACTGACTTGCCATCCTCATTAGACAATTGGTCAAAATTGATGAACAAACAGTTCTCAAAAGAATCACAAACTATTAACAATCATATGAAAGAATATTGCACATCACAAATAATAAGATAAAATGTAAGTCAAACCAAGCCTAAGGTTTTACCCCCCACCCAAAAAATTGGCAAAAATGTCAAAAGATGGTAATGGTCAATACTAAATGGGTTATACAAAGATAGGCACACTAATACAGTATTGGTGGAGCTGTGAATTAAAATTTAATTATTAATTATATTTTATTTAATTTATATTATTTTAGTTTATTAATTATATGCTTTTATTTATTATATAATTTATTATTTAGTATATTATTTTATATTATATATAATATTATTATAGTTATACATTATTTTATTAATAAGTTATGGTAATTTAATATATAATTAATAAAAATAATAGTAAGTAATTTAAAAATTTGATTTCCCATTTTATAAAATTACAAAGAACAAGCATGGCCCCAATAAAGAAATATTAGAAAAAGCTTCCCCTTACTCCTTTGCAGAGGCCAGGAGATGGAGTTGTCCATGAGCATGGAACATTGCATATATTGAAAGATTTTTTTTCAATGTATTGATTGCTTCTGCTAATTTTTTTTCTTCCTCTTTTTCTCTTCAAAAATGTCAGGGGGGATTTTAAGCAGAATTGAAATTTTAAAATATGCAATCCAATTCCTCCTCCCTCCACCTTCGTTTTATAGATGAAGATACTGAAGCATGAGAAAGTGAAAAAGTCACTTAACCAAGTTCCCACAACAAACATAGCTGTGGCTTGAACCCAGATCTTGTGATTCCAAGTCCATTGCTTTTCTCAGTCTTTTTCACTATCTTCACCTCTTTACCTGATATTGTAGAACCAGAAAATAAATAGAAATTGAAAGAATCTACCAATCACCTCCTGAAACAGATGCCGAAATGAAAAATCCCAGAAATGTTATAGCCAAATTCCAGAGTTCCCAGATTAAGGAGAAAATATTCCAAGTAGCCAGAAAGAAACAATTCAAAAATCATAAGGCCATAGTCAGGATAACACAAGATCTAGCAGCTTCCACATTACAAGATCAGAGGGCTTGGAATATGATATTCCATAAGGCAAAGGAGTTGGGATTACAACCAAGAATAACCTACTTAGCAAAACTGAGTATAATCCTTCAAGGGAAAAAAAACGGATACTTAATGAAATAGAGGACTTTCTAGCATGCCTGATTTAAAAAAAAAAAAAAGACCAAAGCTGAATAGAAAATTTGACTTTCAGATGCAAGACTCAATAGAAACATAAAAAGGTGAACATGAAAGAGAAATCATAAGGGATTCAGTAAAGTCAAACTGTTTAAATTCCTATGTTGCAAGATGAGACTTATAACTACTAAGAATCTTATCTTTTTTAGGGCTATCAGAAGGACCCTACACAGACAGAGGGCACAGGAATGAGTTAATTATGATGGGATGATTTCAAAAAAATAAAATTAAAAGGTAAGAAAGAGAGCTGCACTGGGAGAAAGGAGAACAGAGTGGAAAATGGGGGAAATTATCTCACACAAAACAGGTTCAAAAGGAGGAGCCTTTATAGTGGAGACAAAATGAGGAGTGGGCAATGCTTGACTCTTACCCTCATTGGAATTGGCTCAAAGAAGGAATAACATACACACTCAGTTGGATATAAAAATTTATCTTACCCAACATGTAAGTAAGGGGGTAAGAGGATAACTAAAGGTTATTTATGTCCTTTAAGGGGAGGGAGCTGACAGAAAGGAGGGAAGATTAATTAGGGAGGCAGTGGTCAGAACCAAAAAAGACTTTTGAGGAAGGAGAAGAGAGAGAAAGAGAGACAGAGAGAGAGATGGGAAAAAATAGGGTGGAAGGAAATACACAGTAATGAATAGGATGAACTCACTCATAAAATGGAAGTGGATAGCAGAATCGATTAATATGAGAATCTTTGGCAAAGCGTGGACAAGAGTCACACAGGATAAGAGGAACACCTGCATTTATGATACTAAAAAACTCATTGAAGAATTGAAATAAGTGACTTCAGCAATACTAAGGAAAACGAGTCTATGTTCTCAGGGACCCTTCATTCAGGTGCTCCTTTTGTAGAAAAACACATTGATGTGTGATCTATGCTATAATAAAAAACAGTATGGCATCTTGAGTGAAAGAGTGAGTCTAGATTCAAATATAAGCTCGGTCACTTTCTTTCTTTTTTTATTATCCTCATTTTTTTTATTAAATTAATTTATTTTGATTTATCAACCATCACTTCCACAAGCTTTTGAGTTTTAAATTTTTCTCTCCTCCTCCCCAAGATGGCATGCAATCTTATATAGGCTATACATATACATTTCTATTGAACATATTTTCGCATTAGTGATGTTGTAAGTAAGAATTAGAACCAATAGGAGGAACCACCAGAAAGAAAAAACAAAACACAACAGAAGGAAAAAAATTGCAAATAATATACTTTGATCTGCATTCAAACTCCATAGTTCTTTCTTCTTTGTGGACAGCATCTTCCATCATGGGGCCTTTGGAGATGTCTTGGATCCTTGTGTTGCTGAGAAGGGTTAAGTCTATCAGTATTAGTCACTGCAAAACTTGGCTGTTACTGCATATAATATTCTCCTGGTTCTGCTCACTTCACTCAGCATCAGACTATAAAAGTCTTTCCAGGTTTTTCTGAAGACTGCCTGTTCATCATTTCTTACAGCACAATAATATTCCATTACATTCATATACCACAACTTGTTCAGCCATTCCCCAATTGATGGGTATCCTCTCAATTTCCAATTCTTTGCCACCACAAAAAGAGCTGCTATAAATATTTTTGTACATGTGGGTCCTTTTCCCATTTGTATGATCTCTTTGGGACATAGCCCTAGCAGTGGTATTGCTGGGTCAAAGGGTATGTACATTTTTATAGTTCTTTGGGCATAGTTACAAACGGCTCTCCAGAATGGTTGGATCATTTCACAACTCCACCAACAATCCATTAGTGTTCCAATTTTGTTTTTTAATGTATGTGATGAAAACAGAGAAGCATGGAAAGACCTGTATAAATTTATGGGGAATAAAGTAAACAGAGCCAAGAAAACAATATACACAGCAATTACTACAATGTAAATGGAAAGAACAACTATATACCAAAAAATCAGAGGTAAATGCAATGAAAATTATAAAGATCAAGCAGGAGAAGATGTATGAGAAGATAGCACCTACCACCAACCTACCCCTTTGTGGAAGTGGGAGGTCTATAGATGTTAAACACTGCACACATTTTCAGACTTTTTCAATGTATTTATCACTTGCGCTGATTTTTTCCCTTTCTAAATGGGGGTCACAAAAGAGTCAGACACTACTGAAATGCCTCAATAACAACAAACAACAACTTGGGCAGCTAGGGGGCGCCATAGTGAACAGAGAGCCAGGCCTGGAATCAGGGAAGACTCATCTTCCTGAATTCAAGTCTGGCCTCAGACACTTAGGAGCTATGTGACCCTGGACAAGTCACTTAAGCCTGTTTGCTTCATTATCTGTAAAATGAGCTGGAGAAGGAAATGTCAAACTACCCCATTATCTTGGGGGTTTTATTATTGTTTTCATTATGATGTTCAGATTTCTTGATTTGTCATGTTTTTCTGGGAAACCTAGCATCCTTAAGTTGTCTTTACATATCCTGTCTTTGAGAGCAATATGTTTTGCTTGTATGGAAGTAATGTT